TGTTTAACTGTTAGCCCCAGACAGGTCCTTCAGGAGGTATTCCAGAAGGCACTGTTATCATTGTTATCAAAGGAGATGAAAATTCCATTCATGTTACTGCCCCTGAAGACCTTTCAGTGGGACAAGTGTGTAGGTAAAAGACAGTGATATGGAGAATCACAAGTTTACCTAAATAACAAACCAGCAAACGTCCCCCTGAACCTACAAGGTAAAATTTTAAAGAAAGCTTACAGATAAGGATGTATTTTCAGACAGTTGTAGTTTTAACTTAAGAGTCAAAAAGTTGTTAAAAATTAGTTTGCGGCCAGGTGCAGTGGCTCACACCTGTAATCCCAGCACTTTGGGAGGCCGAAGTGGGTGGATCATGAGGTCAGGAGTTTGAGACCAGCCTGACCAACATGGTGAAACCATCTCTACTAAAAACACAAAACTTAGCTGGGCGTGGTGGCAGGTGCCTGCAGTCCCAGCTACTAAGGCGGCTGAGGCAGGAGAATCGGTTGAACCTGGGAGGCCTCTGCCATTGCACTCCAGCCTGGGTGACACAGTGAGACTCCATCCCCCAACCCGCACCCCCCCACCAAAAAAAAAAAAAAAAAAGAAGCAAGCAATTAGTTTGTAAGGTAAAAGTTAAATGGAAAACACCTTTTATAAGTGCTTTTTGTAGCATAAGTGTACAGTAATGTCCTAGCCCTCCACGTTTACTCACCAATCACCCAGAGTAACTTTTAGTCTTGCAAGTTCAACCTATGGTTAAGTACCCTGTACAGGTGTTTCTTTTGAAACATTTATATGGCCTTTTTCCTCTACCTTTTCTCATTTTTCATTTTCTTTTCTTTTTTTTTTTTTTAAAGAATCTTGCTTTGTTGCCCAGGTTGGATGGAATGCAGTGGTACAATCATGGCTCTGCAGCCTTGAACTCCTGGGCTCAAGCGACCCTCCTTAGCCTTCCAAGTAGCTGGGACTACAGGCATGTGCCACCATATCTGGCTAATTTTGAAACTTTCGTAGAGATGGGGTCTTGCTATTTTACCCAGGTTGGTCTCAAATTCCTGGTCTCCCAAGATGCTGGGATTACAGGCATGAGGTACCATGTCCAGCCTTCTGTACCTCTTCTACGCTTAGACACACAAATATTTACCACTGTTATAACTGCCTGTATTCAGCAGTTACATGATGTATAGGTTTGCAGCCTAGGAGCAATAGGCTATACCATATAGGTTTGTATACACACTCAATACCTTTGCTCTTTCCTTCCTTTGTTGAATTCACCTGGCAAAGCCCTAGTTAAATTCAACTCTCCACCTGTTGGCAATTCTGCATGTCCCTCGTATATTTGTTTTCCCATTCCCAAGACAACTACTTCACATCTTTTTCTCTTTAAATCTTCAACATCCCTTGAGGCCCCTTTCTGTTTGCTTTCCAAGACACGCCAGAATAACCCTAAGACTTCATCTATTTATATTATTATTAGTTTTTTGAGACAGAGTCTTGCTCTGTCACCAGGCTGGAGTGCAGGGGCACAATCTAGGATCACTGCAACCTCCACCTCCCGGGTTCAAGCAATTCTCCTGCCTCAGTCTCTTGAGTAGCTGGGACCACAGGTGCCTGCCACCACGCCCAGCTAATTTTTGTATTTTTAGTAGAGATGGGGTTTCACCATGTAGGCCAGGATGGTATCGATCTCTTGACCTCGTGATCCACCCACCTCCGCCTCCCAAAGTGCTGGGATTACATGTGTGAGCCACCGCGCCTGGCCTAGTAACCCTAAGACTTTAAAAGTGAAATACATTTAATCACTGGATGAACTGACAAGTCTTAATATCCATAAACAAGGAAAAAAAAATCCATTGTCATTTGATTGTTCTACTCCCTTCCATGAAGATCCATAAATTCACTCCTAACTACCTTTCCTTGATAGTATCACGAGAATATGTGTCATTATTTTCTAGACATTACTATACAGAAACACAAGTAGCCAATTATAAACACTCAAATTTGACTACAAGATCTTTTGGATTTTCCGTGTGGCTAGCATCACCTATGCTTGACAATTATTTCTCCCAAATCCTTCCTTTTTTTTTTTTTTTTTTTTAACTGTACTGCCCTAGGTCTTCCAGTGCAACGTTCAACAGAAACTATGACACAGTCGCTTTTTTCCTCACTTCCTGCTCTCCTGTGTTCACTCTGCTCCAAATGGCACCTCCTTTCTGAAGACAAAAACAGACAAACAAACAAAAAAACCAGGTTATCTCACAATTGCTAAGGCTGGGGAACCAGGCTCAGTGAATATCAAAACCCAAGAGGCAGATAGGAGGAAATCATCCCTGCTGTTGTATCACCAAAGCACAGCGACCACCCTCGCTAGCAAAATGAGTTTGCATAGCTTCCTAGCAATGTCTCTAGGTCTCATGTTGGTGCATCTGATTGGCAGAACAGGTTCTAAACCTTGATCTTGGCTACAAGTTTTCTGGGTAGTTTTTGAGATGTACAGGCTCTGTAGTTCCTTACAAATAATCCTTAAGTACTCAAAGTACTGGGCAACAGAACACAAGACAGTATCTAAAAACGTGTATGTAGTTCTGTTTCCAACACTAGCACACAAGATTGTATTCCCCCAAAACTGTCCTCCTCAACGTGTTTTCAAAAATCTCATTCTAACATTATTGGTATTTAATCAGTTGTTGGTCTTCCTATTTCTATGATATCCTAATACAGATGCTCTTCAATTTATGATGAGGCAATACTCCCATAAACCACAAGTCAGAAAATCATTAAGTTGAAACTAAATTTAATGTTGGCAACACAGCAGTCGACTTACAATGGTTTCATTGATGATTTTTCAACTCTGTGATGCCATGAAAACAATGTTTATTCAGTAGAAACTGCAACCCCACTAAATCCCCTAAGTCGAACCACTGTAAGTCAGGGACTGTGTGCATGTAAGGAACAGTTTAGATGCTACCAACAGTTTTTAAGTCTCAGGTCCATTGCACTCTTGCCAACACTGGGTATTATTTTCATAAACACCGGCAAGAAATGGGCTAACAAACTCACTTCTGCAGTACAGATATTTACATTAACTAGGGTTAAAAAATTTTTTGAGGCCGGGCGCGGTGGCTCAAGCCTGTAATCCCAGCACTTTGGGAGGCCGAGACGGGCGGATCACGAGGTCAGGAGGCATCTTGAGATCCATTCGCCCTGGGCGAACACGGTGAAAAACCCCGTCTCTTACTAAAAAAAAAAAAAAATACAAAAAAACATAGCCCCGGGCGCAGGGGTCTGCGCGGGGCGGCCTTGTCACGCGGGTTCCCAGCCTACCCTCCGGGACGGCTGGCAGCGCCCCCGGAATGGGCCTGCCCGACAGTGAACCCGCGGTAGCGCGAGCTTGCAGTGAGCTGAGATCCGGCCACTGCACTCCAGCCTGGGTGACAGAGCGAGACTCCGCTCTCAAAAAAAAAAAAAAAAAAAAAAATTTTTTGAGTAGTCTCTTATCAAGTCCTCTGTGAAGAGTTAGTCCAAGCAGGAGATGACCTTCCACAGCACTGCAGGATTCCTGATGTGCCACTCTGGCCTACCCCGACCCCTGTCTATTTCTCCTGGGCCCTGAAAGCTGGCCAGGATGATCTGGAGTTTTCTGGACAGCAGTCACCATCAACTACATGACTATTTCACAAAGCAAGCAAAGAACATCTACAAAAAATTTAGAAAACAACAGCCAAGTCCGGGTGCCCTGGCCTCACGCCTGTAAACCCAGCACTTTGGAGGCTGAGGCAGGCAGATCACAAGGTCAAGGATTTTGAGACCATCACTGGCTAACAGTGAAACCCCATCTCTACTAAAATACAAAATTATTACTGGGCGTGGTGCACACACCTGCAGTCCCAGCTACTCAGGAGGCTGAGGCAGGAGAATCGCTTAAATCCGGCAGGCAGAGGTCGCCAGTGAGCCGAGATCACACCACCTGCACTCCAGCCTGGTGACAGAACACGACTAAACGTCTCAAAAACAGACAAAGAACAGCCAGACTAGGCTTAGGCTATAAGGTGTTGAGAACCACATAATTACAAGTTCACCAACCTCCATGTTTCCTAAGCAGTTTTCCCATGGGTTTATATTATTGTTTTCCATCTCTAGGACATAAGCAGCTGAACCAGTATTTGATGACCACACCAGGCATTGTGACAGGTTCTCCTAACACTTTAAAGTTGACATCTTCAATTGGCACACTGAATTAAATTCTCCGAACGTGACAAAACTAAGTGGAGCAGGATGAGAGTCTGGTTGGTCTAGGCTAGAGCAGATGCCCTTTTAAACACTGCCTCACAGCCAAAGAACCCACACAAAAAGCCTTCCTTACAAATGAGCTAACCCTTCATGAAAAATAGCCAGGTTATCAAGAGTATGTATTTCTAATTTTTATTATGGGCCCACCAGGCATGCCACTTAAAGGATATAGAGATTTAAAGACATTTTACCTGAGGGAATTGCCAGTGAAGCATCATCTATTTGTAGACTGGGGTCAAGCTGAGGCTCCTAATTAAATAGCCTAAGGAACACTTAACTACTCAAAAGCAACACTAGGACAAATTTACACCAGAAGACAATTATCTGTAAGACCTTATTAAACAGGTTCTTGCAGTTTGTTGACTTTTTTGAAAAAAATCAAGTTTCTGTAAACTTTTTCATTACAATTTAAAATGAGTTCTTAAAAATCCTTCAACTTGGACCAGATATGGAACAAACAAATTTAAAAACCTTTAAAGGCTCATTGAGAAAACAGGGGCTTTTTTAAAAAACACGTCTTGTTATTTACCCAAAAACAGAGACGTTCTTTAGGGTTAAAACAAAAATAAGTAAAAACCCCATGCTGCATAGATATTTGCAGTATTTAGGTTCTCATGGTCTGAGATGTGGATGGTCAACGGGCATCAAAAAGCAAGCACTTAAGGTCTTCAGCTCCAATCTTTTGTTCATTTCTTATTGCTGGAATTTCATATTTCTTCTTGTTGGATGACTAAACTGTAAAGAAAAAAATAAAGATGATCATGTAGAATTCATGGTAATCTTCATTTAGTGTAGTACATGCTCTAGCTTACATTACTTGTGTACTGGGAGACATTAACAGATCTTTTGCCATCCAGCAAATAGCAAAGGGGAAAAAACCAAGAGCACTACTGGTTGAATGCTAATTTTGGAGGGAAGGACAATCACACACCTCTCAATATCATGTAAAATGCTGAATGAAAAGGAATCCCTTAATTTTGGAATTAAGGGTAACAAAAACAAGTGAGCTAATAAGCTAAAGTAACAAGAACAAAAATGTATCATGTGGTCTGCCAGAGAATTATTACTATTAATCTATAGGCAGTTTAAATACACCATGATAAACCATGAGTCATTCTCCTAGGAGTTTTCAGACACAAAACACTCTCATCTTTTTCCCAGAACATAAACCAACAAAAAACAATTAGAAATGATTAAAAGATTATATCGATGTTGCCACTTTCAGTGGGTTAATTCTAATAGCTATCCCACTTCTTTTTTGAAATAATGCATAAATAATAATGTAATTAACTTATTTCTCAGAATACAAGCTAGCAAAACTTTCCTCCGTTTACTAGTGACATCATAAAATTCATTCAGAAAAGTTGATAGAAAGCGCTAACAGTTCAAAATACTCAAGAAAATACAGGTCTCCAGTGTCAGAATTGAGAACTAGCTGAGGGGTGGCCAAATATGACTATGATATTCAATATTCCTAAAATGAAATATTAGGTAATTAAGAACAGGGCAGAACACATTATAAATAACATGGCTTTATCTGATGGAAATGAGATTTTCCCCCTCTTGTATTAATAAAATGAAATGGTCACCACTCACAACTGTCATAAATGATGGCCATCCAAGCTTGCTTACCCGGATGATGGTAGAGATGGTAAGCCGGCATTTACTCAGCCCCGCCCTGCTCAGCCTCGGGAGCGGACGAATTCTCAGCTGGTGGATCGGCTGCTTTTGTCTCTTTGCCATCTTGTGGTTTAGGGTTTTCTGGGCGTCTGCGTCGGTAATTGAAGTTGCGGCGGTACCGACGTTGAGGTGGCTGCTGACCTTGGGTCTCATCTCCTTGATTTTCTTTATCTTCTTCATTGCCGTCCTCTCTAGGCTGTCTTTGGCGAGGAGGGCCCCTGCAATGAACAGTGTCAAATTTAAGAATGATAAAACCTTCTCTCTTCAACACACCTACCAGTGTTACCAGTTGGTTCACAACTAACTCACCATGTCTGGCCCATTCTCTCTATCAAGTGGTCTGTAGGCAATTTGTGTAAGGAGATTTTTTTTTCGGGGGGGGGGTGTCGGCGGGTTGGGAGTCTTGCTTTGTTGCCCAGGCTAAAGTGCCACGGCATGATGACAGCTCACTGTGGCCTCTATCTTCCAGGCTCGAGTGATCTTCCCATCTCAGACTCCTGAGTAGCTAGGACTATAGGCAAGCCCTCACGCCTCATTAATGTCTGATTTTTAGTAGAGATATCTTGCTATGTTTCCCAGGCTGGTCTTCAATTCCCGAGCTCAAGCTATCCTCCCTCCTTGGCCTCCCAAAAAGTGCTGGGATTAAAGGCTTGAGTCTTTTAATCATCAAGATAAAGATACTAAATTTTGGGATTTTCTTTCCCCCAGTGCTCAGAAACGATGGATTCCTGGCCTTTCCTTCACCCATACCCTGAGCACTCCAGAAAACCCCAGGCCTTTAGTATCTATCAGTCATCATGGGAATAAATTCACATTTACCTTTGTACATTCTAAAACTCTTTCCCCACATCTTTTGGAACTCATGATGAATCTTCAACAAAATTGTTCTGACTTTTCTCTGTAACCCTCCAGTGGTGACTGTTCTAACCTTATTGTGGCTTCTAAATCAACTCTCCTAGCTTCTAAAAACTGTAGGCGTTCCATCTTATTTTGGATTCTGCTCCATTTACTATCTTTTTCTTATTGCAGTTATTATTAAGGTTCGAGGATAACAGCTTCTAATAACCTGGGCTTTCAGATCGACCTCCCAGTCCAGCTGTTTTCTCAGTTATACCACCCACCTTTCCAATTATGTACCTTCTGATTTTTCCTAGTTAATTCCTTATTGTTTTCTCATTCTTCATCTAGGACCTGTAATATAGCGATCCTATCACCTGTTCATCTCACTCCAAGGTTGGGCACAGTGGCTCACACCTGTAATCCTAACACTTGGGGAGGATCACTTGAGGGCAGTTCAAGACTGCTTGAGTAACACAGTGCAACTCCATCTCTACAACACAATTTTAAAAAACCCCTCATTTTCCCCTTTTCTCCCCTCTTTATCCAAGTATAAAGTCCACCATTAATCATATGACCAATCCCTACCCCAGGGTCTAAGTCTGGATAAACCAATGCCAGAGAAATCCAACTCTCTGCCCAATCTGAGCCTGATGCTCAAATGGCTAGAAACACAGAGCCAAGCTGGGTGAACTCACTTCTAATTTATGATTGTTATCCTATTATTTACAAATTTACCATCTCTATTTTCTCTGCTACAGGGTTCTTTGCCCCAAACTTTTCAAACTTCCTCTTCTTTTGACTCAATTGAGCAAACAAAGGCTTCCATGTCTTCCCATTAAACATGTTTGCCCATGTATTCTTGTTTCTTACACATGAAAACATCAGGTTTCTAACAACAGGTCAACATTTTCACCTGTGGGCAAAACCCAACTCTCTCTGAGGAAGAAAACATTCCAGCAGTCACTTTCCTGCCATCAACCGTTATCCTCGATTGCATTTCAGCCTATAAATGTTATTTCTCAAAAAAAACCTCCCTTTTTCACTCCCCATTTTCCCCTACTGTCTCCTTTTCAGCAAAACTTGTACTACACTCTGTCTTAAGACTTCTCTTTCAATTTGCTTTTGAACCCACACCAGCCAGGATTTTACCACACCACTCCATGCATTAGGCGCAGCATGTTTCATTTACTCTCATTTGAACAAAAGATTCCTGCACAGTTTGGAAAGTCTAGCATTCACTGATAACTTCAAAGCAATTATATGTTACTTCTGCTAACTATCTGGCAGGATTGAGCATTCTAAACATGGAAACACGTAGACATTAAGTCTAACTTAAACCAAATGGCAAAAACGTTTGCACTGGAGGGGTAACAATGGACAAAGATACCTTTCTAAGAGACAAGTCAATCTCAAGCTTCTTGTTTGTCAATATAAAAACAATTTGCTCAACAGTGAACTGAAGCACTGAATACAAACACAAAATTATACTATTTTTAAGGACATCTATGAAACTAGTTTGGCAAAACATTTAAGCTCTTCAGTGTAACAAAAAGGTAAACCAAAGATTCTGCTGCTGGAACCCATGGACTTAATACATGAGAGCCTATTTTAGACCTACTTTGAAAAATAAAAACCCATCTATCTTCAACATCCAGCATCTGGCTAACACAATCTCCTGGTAGAAAACTGAATCAGAGATCTTCAATTCTAGTAGTGATCAGTTAGGATCCCAGCTCTTTCAACTGAAAACTCAGGACAGGACATATATTAACACAAGAAATATGATGACATCAGCTGCTCTTGCAAAACTCTCAATGTACACGTGCTGATAAGTATGTAATACAACCTCAACTAGATTCCCTAGTTCCTAAAACTACACTAAGTGCTCCGACTTTTGTAAAATTTAAAAACCTATATACAGAAACCCCCCCAAAATATACTCACAGTATATTTTGGATATGTTGGATACTTCTAGAATAATAAACTTGACACTTAAAAATTTGGGGATTTAAGAGTTGTGATTTAAGTGATCAGTTAAGATGCATTATTACTGTATTGGTTTGATTCTTCAGAGGTACCTGTCAGATTTTAGGGATCACCTATGAAAACTTAATACTTCAATAGCAAACCCTCACAGAAAGAACGATTACACCATTCTATCCTACCACCGTGGGACTGGGAACGCTGCCTTAAAGCACACCACAGCATGGACTAAAATATGCTTGGCTCACGGAATTTTTCCTCCATTACTCTAATAACGACATCTATTAATAAGATTTCTAATACCCATTCAAGTAGATAGATTAGTTGTCTAATGATAGACCGGATTTTTCCTCCCAGAATGTAAATTCTTCATGGAGCAATTTCATTTTGCAACTTTGAGCTGACATCCCAACTCCAAAAAAAGGGGGGTACATACCTAAACTAAGAAGTAATTAGTGGAAGATTATGTATGCCATTTCAAGTGGTAACACTTACTGCTGATTCTTCACTAATGCCATGGTACAATTCAGATACTCCTAATGCTTTCCTTTCTCCCTACCAAGGAGGTAGGTTTAAAAGACGTGGTTTAAAATATTATCTTACTTGTTCAAGGATAGAAAATTTGAAATTCCATACCCTCATCATTTAAAAAAAAAAAAATTTATGTATAAAGCTGACCTCATCTATATGAGCTATTTTTAACAGGTTCACCTCTTAGGCATCTGATGAAAGGAAACGTGAAGTGTTAACAGAAAAATGAGTCCAAAAGTCTGCGGGAGAGGCATGATATTGCTGAGTTCTAACAGAGGTTTGAGGAAATTTTAATCGAAATATGTTTATGTGGACCATACCTGCGGAATCGTGGTCTATATCCCCGATACATATTCTGCCTCACTGGTCTACCTTGTTCTCCTGCACCCTGGTTGTCAGCACCCTGAAAAAGATAATGGAAATCAAGGCTACTGGGTCAGTAACATAATAACCTTACCAGGAAATCCAGAGTTAAAAAACAAACAAAAAATCAGACCATCTAGTAACTGTGACTACACTATAAATTAACCTTGTTAGTTCTTACTAGGAATCAAAGGTGCTTTCCATATGATTGACAGCTCTAAACAGTCCTACCAGAACTTATCACATTGCTGTTGCTGATGGTGAAACTTACCTCCATCACTTCTCCCTGCACAGGAGGGTTGGAATACTGTGGTCGACGCCCATAGGGTCTCCGCATGTAGTAAGGTGGGAACCTTCGCCTGCGGTAGGGCCGGCGTTGTTGGGCCTGGCCTTCGGGAGCACTCTCCGATCCCTCGTTTTTTTCCCCACTCTCACTATTCTGGTAATTTTGCTGGTAATTGCGTGGAGGACCCCTACGACGTGGATAGCGTCTATAATGGTTACGGTCTGCTGCATATTTACTGCCTTGAACTGGAACACCACCAGGACCTGTAACATTTGCTGCCTCCGCACCCTACAAAAGCCATTACATATTGATAGTGACAAAGGAAATCAGAACACTTTCAACAAATTTCAAACAAAGCAAAAAACAAAGTTAAGGAAAACAAAAAGGGGGGTGGGCGACTGCGTGGCCAGGGGTGCACAGAAATGACTAAATATCAGTTCCTCACTGTTCTGAAGAGATTGCCCTCTAACTGCAGCCAGAACATTAGGCTTGATGCACCTGTGTTCATGAGGTCACCTGAACACATCCATCCACATTAGAGCCACCATCCTAACAGATGAGACCTCCAAAATATTTCCATACTGAAGTCAAACCTTTACACAAAAAGCATCCTCACCTTTTCTCCTTCAACAACATCAAACTCCACAGTCTCTCCATCTCCTACACTGCGAAGGTACTTCCTGGGGTTATTCTTCTTTATGGCAGTCTAGTAATATCACATTCCAAAAACAGATTAACAGGGGAGAATAATGTGCTTTTTCATTTAAAATGTACCAGAGTCAATATTATTTTAGCTTGGATATACACTTAAGATTTGCTTTAAATAAGACCAAATCATCAATAAATTTAGGAAAGCAGGGACCACGCTATCCCCAACTTCAACAAAAACACTCCAATCATACAAGGCCCCAGCATTTTACCACTATTTACAAAACTAAAACAAGTAATTTAACACTCAAGACAGACACAACATTTTAAAAACTGCTTTTTGCAAAAGCATTATATGTAATTTTGAACAAATGAGGATATCCATCTATCCCCTAAAGACTGCACTTAATAGTAGAAGGTGGCCCCACATGGGTCAGTTTAGATGACAGGCGAGTTGGGTTTTGCACGCTTCACAGCTGACCAAACCAACTTTGCCCCTGTGTTACCATATCAAACTCAATTACAAATGTCAACCCAAATCCCTTCCAATCTGATAATACGTCAGTGGAAATGCAGTTCACGTGTATTAACTATGTCATTCTTTATATGATCTGACTGCATGGAATTGTTACTTATCACCTCTCCAGCATTCAATAAATCTTGTATTAGAGACTTGTTGCTTCTACTTCTCAGACTGTTAGGAGAAGGGAGGAAGAGTAACATCTCACGTTTCTATGAAATTTTTTTGCAATATTCTTTCACTTACTACCTATTCAATCTCATTATGAGACAGGACATGTGAAAGTATTGTTAATCCCATTTTACAGATAATGTAACAGGCTTTAAAGTTAGGTGACTTGCCCAAGGTCACACAGTTAGTAAGGAGACTTTCTAAACCCAGGTATTGGGTCTCCAAACTCCATGTTCACTCCAAATCCCAGCTATATCCATTACAGGATCACTCACGCATTTCCACTGCAGAGGAGACAGGACAACCAACGAATCTGAGGCCAATTAAGTGAAGCTGCCCAGAACTGCAGTCTCCTTGATACACCACTAAGACCTGAGCAGCCAAAGTCCCAGGAAACAACTACATGTTGAAACCACTTCCAAAAAAATGAAAGCTATTGGTGGCACCTTGTGAATCAGTACAACCGGGTGAGTTGAGTCAAATAATTGATCTCATCTGTCATCTAAACTGTCACATAGTTTTCATACCTTTCATATATAGCCAACTATCAATTACCTGCAGTCATAGGGGATAGCAGAAGTACGGATAATTAAAATCCCAACTCTTTATTTTTATCAACATCTCCAACCCCTGCCCCAACCCCAACCCTTAAGGGTTGCCAACAGGCAACAAGACTGATAAACTTTGCTGTCTCTTGTTCCTAAGTCTACATATTCTTTTGAACATGTAGAAGGGGAATAAGGAACAGGTGAGCTATGTTCACCCAAACAAGAATACCAATTTTATAAAACATTTGCTTTAAAATAACATTTGTCTGAAGTAGTCCTGTATTTATCTACATTTAGAATTTAAATGTTTCCATAATTACAACTGACCCTGAACTACCTGATTGGGTTGTGGATGTACTAGAAATTGATACAGCTTCCTCCTTGCCATCGAATGCTGTGTAGGACACTTCAGTGAGCTACAAAGCACCAACCTATGACAGCCCTTCCTATGAAACATGCTGCCATACAAGCTAGTATCTTAATTAAATGTGAGTAGGGAAATTGACTTTAGGTCTTTTGATTTCTGGACTATAGTACAAAAAAGTAGTTATGGTCTCTAACTTTAATACAAGTTGACAATATTTCAAAAGTCTTCAGGAGAAAACTGATAGCACAAACATATTTTTTCCTACCCATTTTGTATCTGTAAGAATAAGTACATTCAATGTAGCTTATACCTAAATTTGAGGTATTAATAGACACTTGACAGTGGTTTACATTAACAATCTTAATTCCTGAATGTACAAATATTTTCCTTAAATGATACTTGAGGAGAAAGTTCAGTATGTAGTACTCATCCTATGTTAACAGTTTTTTCTTTCCAAAATACTGGAAGCCAATCTAAAAAATTATTTAATGAGTAGCTGCCAATCTTGTCACACTTCCCCTCACTTAACCTTAAACTAGTGAGAATTTTTTCATTTTCCAAGCCAGCCAAAACTCTCCAAAGGTTAAACAAACAAACAAAACAAAAAAACCCAATACCCATTCAAAGTGATTTAAAATAAGTAGATGGCTCTTTACGCTACTTTTCAAGTATTCACTTCAATTACTGTTTTGCAGGTCTGTCTTATTTACCCTTGATTATGGAGATTTGTCCCTACAGGCAGATCTAAAAGCCTCTGAAAACTTCTTGCCAAAGTTTCTGTGTATTTGCAGCAACATTATTTTTTCAACTTTAGAATCATGGAGTAATTTGTTCATCTGAAATTAGGTATAAATAGTTAGTGCAGGGAGTTTGACTCAACATTTGAGAAAGCCACAGCTGTTGACAAAATTCCAATTTGAAATGTCTAGGATAATTAAGTCAACTCTAACACATTTCAATGTATACATTTTAAGCATGCTACTACTCCTGTAGTAAGTAAATAAACTGGTGGCTGGACTTAACCTTTTATAAGGAACAAAAGTTGAAAACATATCTAACCTTTTCTTCTCACAATCCTTGAATCAGAAGTGCAAATATCTACACAAGCACTCACCTGGTGTACAAATACATCTTCCTTGGTGTCATTCCTGCAAGACAGAACCAAGTTGAACACGTTAGAAAATGAAATACGTCTCATGTTGTCAAAGATTAATTTTCCCAGAGCCTCTCTGGCTGCCAATTAGCTACCAGGAAATTTGGCGAAAATAAAAAAACACAAGCCACCATGCTCTCTGCTTTAAAGACTTAAGCAGTTGCAAACAGTTGTAGCCTCATTACCTGTAAGATAAGCAAAAAAAAAAAAAAAAGTCTAAGAAATTAAAGTGTGACCTACTGAGCCATAATTAAGAGGGTAGCAGTGACTAGCAACATATATTCTGCCCCTCCTTATCCTATTAAACATTAACTGTTCTAGCACACCCTCCTCTTACCTCTAGAGCATGGTTATCAACAGAAGTAGTAATTACACTCTCACCTTATCCTTCAATCATTTCCTCTTCACCATCCCCTACTACCAACTTTCCTTGAGATCATAAAAATGAGTAGAACCTCCTCCCCTAGCAATAGAATGTACAACGCAAAGAGTGAAACCTAATGTGAACTGTGGCTTTGGGTGATAAGGTATGTTTGAATGTAGGAAAGGCCCAGTTAGTTGTAAAAGCTACTCCACAAGCCCACACCAGGACTGATGAAGGTTTAGACCACAGAGCCATATATGAGAAGACATTTGAGATCTCTTTTTGAGGCAAAATGAGAAAGACTTTGTGGATAACTGAAGTCAGAAGTGAGGGGGAAGTAGAGAATAATCTCACTTTTTAGCCTGCAGACTGGGATTGAAGTGGTAACACTAGGAGCAAGAACCACCACTGGAGAAGGGAACAGATTTCCAGGCCTGTAGTGACCTGCCTCACCTTACTCCGTCAGTTCAGAGTGAGAAAAAGTTCAACAGTAGCTCTAGTGTTTAACGACAAAGGGAACAAAGGTTACAGTGAACTGGACAAACTGGATGACTGTTAGCTTCTTGCTGAACTAGGGGGCAACATATGCACCAAAGGATCCACATAAAATTAACTTTAAATCTGACCTGTAAATTATGGCTTGGATTATTATAAGAACATTTTTAATTGATGGGAACAGGATAATTTAAAAAACAGAACAGGTAAACTGTAAAAGCTACTTAAGGCAAGTGACTGAAAACTGACCTTTCAAGCTAGATGATTAGGATTGCCTAGGGAAATGATAATTGTACCTAATGTCCATCTGTCCATAGCTCCACAGGCACCAAAAAACAGATTACGGCCATCATTTATTAGTTCTGCTCTCCAATATGACTGAATTTCAAGCTCTAAGGCTCTAAGGGAAAATACAATAAAAAACTGGTAGAGTAACAAAGGCAAAAGCAGGCAAAGTCTAGAATAGTGATTTTCAACAGGGGCAATACTTCCTCTGGCAGGGTATTTAAAGTTTTTCCAGGCCGGGCACAGGGGCTCACGCCTGCAATCCCAGCACTTTGGGAGGCCAAGGTGAGAAGATCACCTGAGGCCAGGAGTTCAAGATCAGCCTGGCCAACATCGTGAAACCCCGTCTCTACTAAAATTACAAAAAAACCAGCCAGGTGTGGCTGCATGCGCCTGTAGTCCCAGCTACTCTGGAGGATGAGGCAGGAGAACTGCTTGAACCTAGGAGGCGGAGGTTACAGTGAGCTGCTGCACTCCAGCCTGGGCAACAGAGTGAGACTCCCTCTCAAAATAATAAAAAAATAAAAATTTTTCCAAAGATTGGGAACACTATCTGCACTAACAGAAGTGGGGGGTGTCAGTTGCTAGAAGGCTATATAAAGATTTGGTCTAAAAAGTCAATTTGTTTATTGTTATCTGAGTTGTGTATGTATTTCTGTACTGCTTTAATATGCATTAAATTCACTAAAAATGCAGCTTCTGTGGAGAATTTTTCAGTACTGATAATGCTACTCATGGTATCCGGGTAATACATCATTTCTTTATCGATACATTCTGTGGTGGCACTGACTGTTATGCCTTCTAATGCAGTTACAACAAGTATTCACATATCAATATCATCATACCCTGCAATAAAAAGAATTATAAGTAGTTATGGGGCAAGATCCTGTATCTACAAAAAATAAAAAATTAGCTGGGCCCCAAGCCCAGGAAATGAGGGTGCAGTGAGCTATCATCATGCCACTACACTCCACCCTGTGCAACAGAGCAAGACCCTGTCTCTAAACAGAGAAAGTACAAGGCTGCCATTACACACACGGTAATGTCACTCCTGCAAAAACAGGCAGGTGTTTTGTGGGTACATAGATAGATATCTGAAACCAATGTAGTTCACTGACCAATGTCATGACAGTAAAAAGAGTACTCCAAAAGGAACACTTAGCCAGGGTCTTAAGCTCAAGATATTTATTGAAAATGTCCTCAATTGCAATAAAAACATTACACCATGAAAAAAAAGTGATTTGTTGAACCAGTGATTTAAATGTATTATTGATCTGCTTTGAATTTGCAACCAGCCAGAACCTCTAGTTTAAATCAGCAGTTATAACAAAGCAGAGCCTCAAATATTAGACAGTTGCAGAGTAGCTTTCTGGGTGCAGGTGTCACTGCTCTGCCAGCTATCACTCCTCTTTTCTGTTCAGTTTTTCTCTCAGGTGTTTGCTGGGAAATTAACACTGGAACTAACCCTTTTCTGGCAGTGAATATAAGCTCTAGCTCCTCCATCTACTATAAAGAAATGTCTTCAAGATGTACAAATAAGGAATATTCTGAAAATAAAAATTATATAGTAGTAAAGATAATTCAGAAAGAAAAAGCTACCTGTTAGAATTTCCAGTCTAAATGGCACAGAGTAGTTAGGGAGAAAAGGGTTTGGAAAGAGAAACTATGACTACAGATGAGAGGTGTGAACAAGCTGTCAAGTTCCTACGGGCTTAAGCTGGGGCAATCAGGCCCTGAACTCCAAATCTGGATAAAATATTTCTTTGTATTCTTCTTGGGCACCTGCATAGTCTGACACACACATATGTCCAATTAGACTCGCAGGCCACAGGTGTGCCCTGCACTGTTTTCTTTTTAATTAGAAATAAAAAGTATTAGTTTAAATGTGATTCTGGGCCAGGCGTGGTGGCTCATGCCTGTAATCTCAGCACTTTGGGAGGCCGAGGTGGGCAGATCACGAGGTCAGGAGATCCAGACCATCCTGACTAACACGGTGAAACCCTGTCTCTACTAAAAATACAAAAAAAAAAACAAAACAAAACAGTGATTCTGGTGCTGGTACCCTGTACACATGTAACAATACAGGACCCGCAAAATGGATTTTGCTTCTGGTGAATCTTATTCATTGGGTTAGTATATGACTATAGAATTTCCCATTTGTATTATTATATTGGGGAAAACATTTTAATCACTTTCTATTGTTAAGAAAATCGAAAACAAATTATGTTGTTAAAAATGGAAACGTGATATCTGCATTATTAAACCCCTTTGCAGAACTTTTAAAAAAAAAAAAAAAAAAAAAGAAAGAAAACAGTATTCAATTTTTTTATTTTGACATGGCATCTCACTTTGTTGTCCAGGCTGGAGTGCAGTGGCGATCTTGGCTCACTGCAACCTCCGCCTTCCGGGTTCAAGTTCTTGCACTTCAGCCATGAGTAGCTGGGATTACAGGTGTGCACCACCACACCCTGCTAGACTTTTAGTCTTGATTCAACTATTAACAGCTGTGTAACCTAGGAACGCTGCCTCATTGGCTTTTTTACCTGCAAAATGAGAAAAACTACACTAAACAATAACTTACATTACTAAGGTAGGGACTCAACTCTTAGTATCGTGCATTTATATTCACTAATACTAGCCAGTTTTTTAGATTAAAATCTAATTGCTACCACTCCTATAGTACAGCCTATCCAGATTGGTAAGGGTCTTAAAAATAGACAAAATGCAACTCAAAATGGGAAAACAAAGGCAAAAAACTTTAACTTCCCTGGAAAACTTGTTAATAACTCAAAAGACAATTACAGTTTGCCTGATAACTCTCCATGCCATAGGAACTAGGAATTCCAGCATTTGCTTTTCATGGCCCAATCCATCCAAACTCCAGGACCCTACTCCAGCATGTTCACCATGTTTGACCACCCTCCCACTCCTAAAAGACAACTATCTTTATCCTAGCTGTATATCTACATTAAAAAAAGCTAAATTTTAGAAAGCTTTTTTGCCAATCCACAGTATTGCCTTAAATAAGACTTATTATTCATAACTTTATCCATAACTAAATGCTCTTACACTACTACTTTGTTGCAGATTACCAGACCAAGTTAGTCTAACACCTTAATTCACCTAACTGCATATACCAATTTACAATCCTATGGTTATAAAAACTCCAGGATTTAGCATCTATATGCTCCATAACCTAAAGCAACCAGATACCAATTTCCAAGCCTTACAGATGACTGTAAGATAATAACTCCCCTTATCTTTGTATTTCTTCTCTATTAAACTCCCTTCACACCCAACAGACTCACTTTTTCCCACATATTGTCTGTGATTCTGCCTTAGGACAGACTGTATGTTTGTTTCCAAGGGCCAAGATTGGAGGGTAGCAAACTCAGTAATTGCAGCCCCAGGACTACGGGGACAGGAAGGTAATACAGCCTATCCTTGAATAACTCAACATCTATGACGGTGGATGGAAGTTTGAGGTGCCAACCTGCTGCACAGTTGAAATGTGCCTATAACTTTTGACTCTTCCAAAATTTAATGGCTTACTCATGACTGGAAAGCCTTACTGGTAACACAAATCATTAACGAACGCATTTTCTATCTTACATGTATTATATACTGTATTCTTGCAATAAAGCTAGAGAAAATGCTAAGAAAGTTGTAAGAGAAAATACATGTACAGTACTGTACTTAACACAGTAAGTGTACATCTGTCTGAAAGGTAATTCCAGCTGTAGACCTCATCTACAGCACATATCAAGCAACTGAACTTCTTACAACGCCATGACTTTTCTCAGCTTCACTACTGCCACTTTGCATGGGTCCCATGGTGTCATTCAAGACTT